GATCTGACAAAAAGAAGAAACTTTGGCGCAGACGAATGAATCCTCGTACTGTAAGCGAAAGTTACCCGCGCGCTGTTAATGTGCCTAACTAGCTCGTTTCTCTCGTCTACGCACCTATGTCCTCTTTCCACTCTCGTTGCGTAACAACATTCTTTGCCACCAAAACCGGCGAACTAGCTTTGCATATTACGCGAACGAATAACGTACACGTTGCATAATTGGACCATATAGCGCGTTTTTATTTCAACCAATGCAGCATCACAACAAATAAAATAATTCCTTAAATACATGGTAAATTATATCTCTTTACATATAAATGTCACGGTTGCGTTTGATGATGCAGAATTAAAGACGCATTAAAAATAAAATCACATTGCTTGAGAGAAGAGAGGTTTTGTCAACAAATTTTATTTGAATATTTTTGAATGTTTTTACATTCAAATATCCTTAGATATCATTATATATGCATTTTTAGAAATCTATACAAATAAATCTATTTCCTCTGTTTTAATATAACAATTAGGATTGAATGTAAGAATAGATAATGTAACACAAAACAATTTTTCTTTCACAAAGATAAAGATTTATTTTTATAAAGCATTACGGCTTTCCTTTATGTAACCGATGCAAATAGAATTGAATGTTTGACAACTTTTTAATGCTGTTTCAATTGAAGTGATATTGATACCAATCGATCGATAATTATCTTGATGGTTGTTTACTTTGCGAGCGACAATGCGCGATAACAGATTCAAAAAGAGTTATTGGGATCCGTATCCTTTTGTCAATTTTCGCGGACACTAATAAATATGACGAACAAGTGATCGCGGAATAACGAGAACGAGCGCGCGTGAGATATTCTCATTTTCTATTTTTTTTCTTTTTACTCTCGATAGCATTATTTTCAAGTAGTTTTTATATAGAATATTCTAATAAACTTAATAAACAATGATATTGAGATAATTTTCTATCAAATTTTAAAATGCTCGATTAAACCTGTAAATAGATTTTAATTACAGTTAAAAAGTTGTTTTATTATATGTTGAAAAATTTAGTTTTTTCTTAAATTATAGTTATAATGGATTTATCTCACATTTATTTTTACGTAAAAATATTAATCATTTATATTAAAGTAAAAATTAATATCAGATAAAGAATATATAAATCAAAAAAATTTTTTCTTTTTAATTTTCACCATATATCTTGAAATGTATAAGATATAGTAAATATATGTAAAAGAAAAATTATCTTAATTTTAAAATCATTAATTATGTAAACTTTTTTTTCTAATTAGCAACTCTTTTCTGCGTACATTTATCTTGTCTTTAAAAAAGTTTAGATATATAAAACATTTGAAATGAAACATCATGTAAAAGGATCATCCAATTGGCAGTCGTATAATTTGTTCAATGATAGCGAATTGGGGTGAGAAAAAGGGGCTCGGTGTTCTGGACCGCGTAGAAAGAAGTACGTCGTAAAAATTGTAATAAAACGGTCGTTAACTGTGCAGAGCCCATAATGGACTGATATTTGCGTCATCCTGTAATGTTCGTCTGGCCAGTTTCTACTCAGAAGCTTTTAGAAAAATATCACTATAACAGTAGTTGCCTCACACATATCGCGGCATAATCATATTAGAATTACTATGATTGAATTGTATTTTTAAAACAATATCTAAATTATAATTTATAACTTCAGATTTTAATTATAAATTTTAATTTAAACGATATTAAATTTTTTACTGATTCTTATTTGTTTTTTTGTTACGTGGATTCGTTTTCTTCTTTATATATATATATATATATATTTTCTTTCGGGAATTATTATATATATATATATATATATATATATATATATATGTATGTATATAGAAATATTATCCAATTCTACATATGTATACAAATACACTCATATGCACATGTATTAATATCACGAACGTGACATTATCCAGATGCAATGACCTGAAAATGGAAAGCACGCTGTGTTTTCGAAAATGCGCTTAACCCAGTTATTTTAATCCCATATCCGATTACGCGGAATTAATTGTGCTGTGACGAAGACAGAATTTGAAACAGAACAATATATATACATATATATGTATATATAGCCATATATACAGGATAATTTAGCGTTTTGTTCGTCTGACATTTCCTCCGTGTTTACTAGCCGCAATATATGTTTGGCAATATGGACGAAAAATACATTTCTATTGGACCCAAGTCATCAAAAATAAGGTATCGTAAAAGCTACGATAAAACTGTCGTCTGCATTACGAGCCAGCGTGGTCAAAAGATATTCCATATTTATTATCATATCAAGTCTGAAAATATACTACACTTGCCTCGCTGAAATTTGTGTAATGATATCCTCTTTATATCCAATCTCTATATTGAAACTGCTTATTTTTTGTATAGTTATTTCTGCCATTGCTTCAAACTGCAGCACATATTAAAATGAACATCCCTTTTACTTACTTCAATATGACCAATATTGGAATCAAATAATTCAGTAATTTGAGTAGATTTATAATTGAAATCATTTTCGAAAATCACTAAAACTTTGTGAAAAAAACAGAAATAGATGCACATATAATCGATTTTTCTTCCATGTTTTGCAGAGAAATAATTGACAAAACCTTGCATTTGTGAATTAGATACATCCACATACATGTCGAAAGGGAGGCGTCGTAAAAACTGTAGTAAAATTGTCGTTACCGTGGCAGGACGGGATAAATGGCAAGTTCTATCACGAGAGTTAAGTTGTTACCCCACGCGTTCTGCAGGATAGCCAAATGACAAATTTATATATATATATATTTTTTTTGCGCAAAATACATCGTTTGGTTCTTTTTTATATATAAAGTTAGCAGCCTATTTTTTTAAATTTTTATATTTAATTGATAGAGATCTGATTTTCTTTTTCATAATTTTTTAGAGTATTTGTTAAAAGTACTTTGTATATTGTATTTAAATTTGATATCCATATTTAAGCTAAAGAAAAAATTAATTGTAAGACATATATACTTATGTATTTTTTTAAATCTATTTTTCTCAATCACGATAGCACAAAATGTATTTTTTGAGATTATTCAATATTTCTTATTATTTGTGATATTTATTAAACATCATGCTTTACTAAAATATGTGAAAGCTTTTTATTTCACAAATGGAAATTTTTGCATACGGTGGTTTTTGCGAGATAATTGTTTGGTACGTTCTCGCTCTGCATTTTAGTGTAATCGTTTATTACGGTGTCAGCAATATACATCATTTTCGTGGGCGATAAAAAGCAATTGCAGTCCGTTTCTGCACTGGCATACGTTTCATTGTGCAACAAAGTGGCGGAAACAATTGGTTTTCGGTGTCACAAAATGCGTACTATAATACTACTTGCCACGATGACCACGGTGTCGCATGTTCGTCATAACATTGATGCAATGAATCAGATTATGCTATTATCGCTACATTAAACATGCTGTGCTTGGCATTTTCATGAATCCCAATCTCTCGTACGTGAAACAAACACACACATATGCGACATTCACGCAGCGGAACGTAAAAAGAGCCATATCCGTATCGCGAATTTTCCACCAAATATAATTACGTCAAGTTCTATGCTTTATTCATCTTTATTCTCTAATATGGCGAATACCGCCTAAATGCAGACATGCAATAAAAATTGAACAGCGACATTCAATATTAAATGCGCTGTGAGAGTACACAGTTTATTGTATTTGCATAAAAGCTGACTACTTTGTGCGCAAACTTGGCACAAAGACCGTGTAATGCAAGATGATAATACCAAATTGCAAAGATTAGCATTGAGAAATTTTAAGTGTTTTCTTTATTCATTTCAATTATAATTTATGATAGTCTGAAATAAAAAAAGAAAGATATATATTTATCTATAATCAGACAGTTAAAAAATAATTCTGCTATATAAGAAGACTATTTGATTTATATTTTTACTCAATTCCTATTTTTCTCTTTTATTTTATTTTTAATTCAAAAAATGAGGTGCAATTGATATTTTTAACTTTTCAATCTTTGTTAGATAAAAATTAGTTCGGAAAATTAATTTGGAAAAATTATATCTCTAAAATGTGTATTCGGCTGTTTTAACGCGAATAAGGACTTGCGAGAGTTGTCGTTCTATCACTTCTGCTCCGCACACCACATGATATCGCCGATAAAGGCTGCTACGCGGACTGTTCTTGTTTAAAAGCCTGTTAGTGTGGTAACGGCGAAACCTCGAGAATATAGGCTCTCTCTCTCTCTCACACTCTCACAGTGGTTCTTCACTCGCATCTCTCCTCCTTCCTTCCCCAACCAGATCGTGCAGTGATACAGGAATGTCTGGGATGCTGCTACCAACGGTGTAGAGCTCTAGGGTGGTTCTGGCGTGGCCATTATAGTGATTACATTAGGTACCATCGTGCCGGGCAAACCCGCGTGCGGCTCACTTGGTTTATCGAGTGGACAATTCGATGGAGAAAGCCAGATCGCCGATTCAGAATAATCCTACCGTCGTCTCTCGACGTTACAGGCGTGTCTGACACTTGTACAATTTGTGCAGAAATGATAACGGGCGACCGCGAGAAAGGTGTCTTTCAGTTTGACGAGAAAATTAGCGTGCTATTGTAAAACGCACACTCTCTGTCATTTCTTGTCCTTTCAGTCGGGATTATCGGATAACAGATCGCTACGTCTTACGAATCCTTTAAGTGCTGTTTAAATTGATCTTTTTAAAATGATGAAAACACGTAAAATAGAAATGCCACTGCAATCATTTCACTTACAATTAGATTAATTATTTTTATTCAAATTGATATAATGTATTGTATAACAATTGCAAATTAATAGTGATAATCTAAACTAATTGTAAGCCTGCAAATATTTGTTCTTTATGTGTGATAGAATATTTACATATATATTTATACTTCTGTATACTAATTAATGTGAACGCTGCTATAATTTAGATTTTATGTTTGTATGTTACAGAGAGACAACGTGAAATTCGGAGGTGTCGTTAAAAGTATCGCGCGTACAAGTGCGGGAGTGCTGTTAAAAGTATTACGCGTACACGAGTGCGGGAGTGTCGTTAAAAGTATCGTGCGTGTTTAACAACGGACTTTGACGACTCTGACAACCGCAGAGGAAAAAGAGACCTAGGAGAGGCATCGGGCATCAGCGGAGCAACCCAAAGGTGAGCATATCGTTGTTTGTATATTAATTATTATAACTCACATTAATTCAATTTATTTATTTGAACAATTTAAACAAGAAAAACTTAGAGATATTATATAGGATACATTTTTTTAAAGAGATATATAAATATGTATATATATAAATTCTATAAGTTTCTACTTAAAAATTTTTTTTGTATTTTATAAAATTATTTTATTATATATTTATATATAGTTTATTATTATATATAGTTTATTATTTTGTTTTATACCAAATATAAAGTTTAGCGCATCCATTAATTTTTTAAAATAATAATTAATTTAAATTCTTTATTTATATGTTACAGAAAACTAGCTTGAACATCAACTACTCCGTTGTTGGTACATCGGTGTTGGTGAGTGAGATAAATTTTTATTTAATTTTGAGGTAACGGATTTAAATCGTAGTTATAGATTGATAGATTATACATTATAGATAGATTCGTTACCTTAAAATAGATGGACTAAAATGAATTAAATCAAATTTACTTTGGTTATTTAATAGATACTTTAAACATAATACATATAATTTAAGCATACACATAAGTGTAAATTAAAGTATAAATTAATGAAAGATATAAATAATTTTAATTCAGATTTCACTTATTTTATTTAAAGAACGCGCTTATGATTTTATTAATTGTACATAACAACTTTGTTATATATAAAAATAACTTATTCTTTTAACAAACATTAATTATTTTAATTTTTTGTAGTCTATCTATGTAGCGACATGAAAATATTTTACTTTGATTGATGTAAATCCAAGTTATCGATCAATAAATATGGTATACCATATAATATGAATGTTTTTTAATGAATTTTGTTTTATTATAAATTTTATATATATTATTATTAGAAAAATATAAATGAAATTATTTTGATCGATGATTTGGCGTAAATTCAACAATGTATGACGATCGTATGATTTCTTACGATCGTATCCGAGCGTAAAATTACGCTTATATACCGGTGATGATAATTACCCGGAAATGGAGAAATTTCTTCATTGATATCTCCGAGGAATTAAAGTTACATCTTTGACTAGATATAAGCAGAACGATGTTGGCCAATAAAGGTAGGTCCACTGGCCTAAAAAATATATTTAATCATAAAAAACGGTAAATGCAATACATATTTGATCTTAAATCTAATATTTGACTTTTAATGTTAACGCGTAGATAAATATACGCATACAATTCTTTGATTGTATATGTGTGTGTGCATTACCTAGTTTATAATAAAATCAGAAAAAACATTAACATAATAAGTTAAAATTTAATTGCAAGCTCATATTTTATGAAACTTAATAAATTAAAATAGGTATATTGTTCTCTCTTTCTCAGTCTTTTCAAGAAGATATGTATCCTAAAATATATCTTTCTAAAATATTGTAGTTATATGAAGAGGATTGAATTAATTTTACAATTTAAGTTAAGTTATTATTTCGGCAGAATTTAAACACAGAGCTAATTTCCATAGTAATTTTATTGTGAAACGAATGCATGGCAAAGTTAAAAACAATCGATATTGATGCTGTTTTCAGAACAATAGCGTATGCTTTTCTCGCACTTTCTTCCTTGCAAATACGTTTACCGCGAGTTTTCCGATGGTATGCAAATAAATTATTTAATTATTCCGTGTTTGTTCGCTTTATTAAATATACACAATTAACCGACGACCTCTTTAAAGCGCGTGTCGCTCGTGATGTAACGTAACAAAGGATAAACGATTTCGTCGTGTGACGGGTATTACGACATTAATTATTACTACTATACAATAGAGAGTACAACCTATCGAGAACAGACTATCTCTGACGTTTAATATTATTTAATGCCGTCTTTGCACAATGCATTTAATGCAAATAGGTTTCATTTAGGGATCTAACTGCATTATTACCTCTGCCATTATTATGAGATTTCGGGACTTGATTTGAATCAATGCATATAAAGGAATTGTTTGCTTTATTTATACTCGTTTCTGCAATTAAAATTATTATACCCAACTAACTTTTTTTTATCCTTTCTAATCTAATTTTTTTCGATTCGGAAAAAGTTTCGAATTTTCATTATAAAAATCACTCTTGATGCTAATTCAGTCTCGTCAAATGTTATTTTAACACAAATCTGAAACGATTTCAATTGACATTATTAATTGTATACAATATAAATGAAATGCATATATTAGAAAGAAAATAAGAGACGAGAGACTGAATGATGTTAAAAACACGTCGGTCTTCCGATGCTAAAATCGATAAATTCTGAACAATATACACGGACGATTTTGCAGTTTTTGGCAAGGCGGAGAACTCCGATTCTCTTTCGCAACGCATATTTCAACCTTCTCATGCGCACCGCAAAGTGCAGAAGTTCCTTCCTCGTAATAGGCTCGACGGCTTTTACACTTCCTTTTTACGGACTTTACTCGAGCGAAACATTCCCTAGAGTACGCGAGACGAAGACGGCGTTTTATATCTCTCCGGCTATCTTTCTCCTCCGGTGTGTGCCGTAGACTCGAGTTAGTCGGGTTAGACAGGCACACTGCACATTCTTCCCTCCACAACCCCTCCTTCGTTTTCATTCTCTTTCTCTATTATGTAAATAGTAATACGTTACGTTGTCACAGAGCGGAACGCGTCGTATCCGACGTGTACGCGAACCGTCGTGTAACATCCCTCTCGGATGTGCGGTACGTGCCGGAGTAATGTCATACCGAGCGTACGCCTCCATAGGCTAAATCTACATTGGGAGACGATGGCCTGTGTATTCAAGTTATCGCCCGGTTAAATCATTTTAAAATGTTTCATGCGCGCAATTGCTTGTCATTCTGTCAAAAAGCGATTAAACCGACGACACGCTTTTTTCCTATACTTTTTCAAGTCCTTTGTATGTTGTTTTTTAACAGGTTCTGCAAAAGTATCATTGAATTTTCAACTACTGCCTATTTGGACAATTGGATATTGTTGTTGAACTATTGTTCTCTGAGCGCGCAGAGAGCTGGATTTATTAGTATATGTACGTACAGTAAGCATAGTGTCGGTTAATGGGTTAAATTATTATCTTTTGTCTTTAATAGTTGAGTTTAATCGTACAGATAAATTGAAAAAAAAAAATTATACAATTAATATTCTAATACGTTAGTACTAGGTTGAATTATTATCCTTATGTAAAGTTCGTTAATTAGATCAGTCCCTTTTTACTCTCAGTTAGGAAACCCTCAGTTAGGTATATCGCTGTTATAATAATAATATGTACTTATGCAATTCTAAAGAAGTTTAATCTAAAACTTTCTCTACGCAAGGGAGAGAGAACGCAATTGCCGTAACTTATACTATTCAGGAATACGAACTTCCTGACGTATTCACTTACTTTGACCAACGTCAGCACAATGTTGCCGAAACGCAGCAATTGTGTTTAATTCTACGAGCGAACGCACGTTGTCGACGTGGAAAACAGCCGTGTTGTTTCCTTTTGCAGCTGGTACAATGTTTCCGGCCAGCGGTGATGCGCCGTCGAGTCGGGAAAACAACAAGGATGTTGCCGATGTAGTTGTAGTAGCTCCTTTAGTCGACGTGTTTATTTCACTTTCTCTTGGCTCCTTTCTCGTTTTCTCAGTTATGTTTGGAGCACTCTCATAAGGTGTCTTTTCCCGTCATTTGCTCGCTTTCGTACAGAGTTTTCTCATCTTCCACTAAGTATAAATCTTTCCACAATTTCTTTAAGCTTATTCTTCTGGCTGCACTAGTAAACAACATTCGATTCGCGAGACTTGGAAAAGTTTACAAACACTAAGTATCTCTAATAAAGTCGATAATTGGTTACGCTATGATGAGTACGAATTGAATAATCTATATGAGAATAAAATTCATTCAGCGATTATTGAAATACGCTTTACAGTTTTAATTTAAATGTTGATTCATTATTTATAAACCTGTAAATAAAAAAGAAAAAGTGAGGAAAATTAAAATTAAATTTAGATATTAATATTAATTTTATAGTGATAGTATTTTTACAGTTTATTGTTATTATAGCGATGTATAGAAATATTAATACATAGGTCAATGTGACTAATATGATTTATATACATATATATGTATAAATAATTAAAAAGTATAATTATATGTAACAAACATGTGAGTGTCAACAAATATGTCAGTTATTAAAGTGGAAAACGATGAAGTTTAATAAAATTAATGGAATTTATTAAATTATATATTCACATACAGAGATGGTAAGATCTTGAAATAATAATTTAATTAAACTATTTTTAACTGATTTTAATTTCAAAGATTACTTTGAAATTAAAATCAGTTAAAAATATAAAAATAGTTTAATTAAAATAAATGCGATTAAAACGCATATATATATAACACGTACATACCATCTTCCATTATATGTATATATACATATATATATGTATATGCACCGTATTTCTGTACTTTGTATAATTCAAATAATTTTTACTTAACGAAATCTTGCAAACAAATATCGTGTTTACATACACGTACAAAATGTAAAAAGCTCTTTTATTATCAGATAAACGAACAAATGCGAAGGAGCAGCGATTGTCGACGATAAATTACGAGGAAGTTCCGCATCGCGTAGTAAGCGATAACCGCCATAAATTTCGACAGATAAATATTCGCGATTTCGATACGCTCGCGAGGGCCGCGAAATCAACGCTCAAAACTCCGCAATTATTTCCCAGGGGATTCTAATAATTAATTTCTCGATGCGACTGCGTGGTGGGCGCCGGTGCGCGACCCGTATGCATTATACGGACGATGAAGTTAACGGGGAGGCAAGAAACTTGCCATCTCTGTAAAGCCAGTTTAGTACAAACTCATTCTAAAATATTAGGGTGTTTCTCGCGTTAATGAAATTTGATATCCTGATAATATATAGGGATTTCTTGTATCGCGCCATTGTTTATATAGCCGTTCTATATAAATTATGATTTAAATAATGATTGGATACTTTAACTTCCACGAATTTTCCATGTATTTACTTCCATATATTATTAGTTCATAAATTATATTAAATTATATTGAATTATATCATTATCGGAAATTCGGGAAAATTAAATTTTGTGAAGCATTCAGGGCAGGAATAAATTATGTGCGTAGTTTATAGAGATCTCTGTCTTAAATATACAGCAGCATTCAAAATAAATTCTCACGCATCACGCGGTCTTGATTCTTCCGCTGCTACTGAACGTTTAATGCCGTTTCGCGAATCGTTTTCAAATTCTTTTATTGTGATGAGCGCGGTCCTCCGTCGTCGTAAATATTTTAATTTTCTCCTCCGAATCGCGCGAGTTTTAATGCAGTCCGGAAAAATCCAGGAAATTATTTCGTCT